ATGAAATTAAATTAATATAAATTGCTATATAATCAACTCAACAATGCAAAGATGCGAATATTTCATCGTCGTTTCAATTTGTTGTATTATTGTTTATTTTAAAATAAAATGCTACACAGCTAAATAAAAATTCAGATTTTTCAATAGTTTTGAATAATAAAAATAAAAAAAGCAAAAAATAAAAAAAAATATATATATATATTCATACAATTATTGAGTAGCAATTAATAATTAGTACTAAAAAATATTTAATTTAAATTTAATTAAACAAAATACAAATCCAACTCAAAAATGTGAAAACAGTTTGATTCAAATGTTTAGCGAAATAGTTTGCTGGATTGTTTGATTGGTATTATAATAATAAAGAAGTCCCTTATTCTATGTGGGTATTTTGAGCCGAAAACAGAAAACCACTAAAACTCACTTTAGTATTCCGGCGAGCTGAGCTTTAGCCGCACTTAACTTTTGTACATATATTACTGATCTTACACAAAATACATAAGTGAGCAGAAAGAATTATTGTTCAGTGTTAATTTTATAATATATAAAGTATTCAATTGTGAAAGTGAAAGTGAAAGTGTTAAGTCTCCTTTGTCAGACTTAAGAATCTGAACTGAATCACCAGGGGGTTTAATTCTTCTCATCTTTGACTGGAATTAATCTGATCTGCTTTAGTCAGCTTTATTCATACCTGATCCTTAGCTATTAAAGTAAATTATTCTATGTGAATCTTGGTGGCGTTCACCCAGATTTGGACAACGTCCCTCCAGGTTGGAGTATCCCATTCTACAGAATGGCTTGCTTTCTCTTTGTAGCATCCAGGAGATCTGCTTAGGACCTCTTCGACAGGTAGCTGCAGTTGCCAGAAGTTGGAGTGGGAGGTTAAGGTGCTTGTCTAGTCTGGGTGCCAATTATTTCACCATTCTGGTTTCTCTCAGGCGAGTGTTACTGAGTCGGGTGCCTCCCGTCTGAGTGAGCGGCAGAGGCTTTTGCTTTTTGGGGCGCTGATTCCATCTCCGGGAACAAAAGAGTCTCGGGGAATTTCTGCATCGCATCTGTTAGGGCATCTGAGTTTCTCCGCAATTTCATGTGATGTGCGGCTAATGAGTATAAAATTTGATGCAATTAGAAGGAGGCAAATCTAATCGTGTTAAGCATTCTGAGCGTTAAATATTTGATGGCGCCTGAGAGCAACAGAGATTCAGTTTGCCCCGCAAAGTAGGCAAGAGAAAGCCTCGAGTTCTCCATAATTCTTAAATTCTAAATACTTGCGCAACAAATGTTTTCTTTGCTTCTGTTTTTGTTTTTGTTGTTTCTTTCTCTAATTATGAAGAAAATGAATATGAAAATGTTTCATGCTCGTAATTTCCTACGCTGAATGCTTTTTAATTGCATTTATGCCAACTTGATATGCCAAAGATACATTTTACGCTATATATATATGTATATATCTACGTGGGTGAGCGAGCGTGGTAGGCGAGGTAGGGGGAGACAGAGAAGTAGAGTATAATAGGTGAACATGCAAATTCATGTCAACACATTTTCATTAACGCTTCAATTTCACATGATACGATTTGAATGTTCCCTAATTGTTGCTCCAGCAGCCGACTGCAAATTGCCCCAATTGAAGAGCGAAATATGCATTCAAATATGACTGCCTGCCTGTCTCCCCCTCACTCAGCCTCTCCCTCTCTCTCTCTCTGTCTGGGGCTAATGTTGGCGATTAAGAATTTTAATTGCTGCACTGGGAATACGAAAATCCGCTTGTAATTTCAACAGCTGAAACTTTAATTTCGATTCTCTACAATCTACATATATATATGTGTATCTAAACAAACGTGCAATATATATGTATATAAATTGCTATATATGCATATATACATACGTATTTATATATTTGACTAAACACTGATTTGTGTCTGCTGTAATTAAATACATCCAAGTCCAGGCATATGTGTTTACTCTCTCTCCCCTTATCTTAACCTTTCTTTCTCTCTCTTTCTGTTCCCGTCCTCCTCTGACTCTTCTGATACCACTTGACCAACAGCTTATAATGCTCGCAAATTATATAAATTTCATTTCTAAGCTCATTCGCCTTCCAATTGGAAGCATTTTGCTCTAAACTAATTAGTTTATTGATTGCATAATATATTCTTGGATATGTAAACGACTAGCAGCAGCTCAGCAATTAGCTCGTTGTCGTCGTATGCACATGTCATCCATAGCCGAATCTTGGCCCAATGTATGCGAACTGCTGTTCAACTACATATTACGTATACGCGCCGTGTGCACGCGAATTACTCGGATATGAATGATGTTATTATTATTTGTTAATTGTAGCAAAATGCATCTATTGCAGTTAGCTTAGCTGTATATTCTCAAGTAGATTTTATTGACTTGAAAACACTTCTCTGTGAAGCGGAGCATATTTGCCGTGTACTTGCACCTGTATAGAGGTGAGCTGTGCTCATGAATATTTATATAATATTTATATAAGTTATTATATGCGAATAAGTTGAATTATCGCTGATTGTGCCATCTCAATC